TCGTCGCTCGCCGACCGACACGCCAACCATGGGGCCCGAGTTGGGCGCAGGCGCGTACTCTGCGGGCCCGCCGCGGCTGGACCTGGGGGGCCTCAGCGCGGAGCACCTCCAGCAGCAGCAGCAGCACAAGCTGCACCAGCTGCAGGCCTTCGACGAGCTCTGGCACGCGCACCAGCACGCCGACGGCCGCCCACCAGAGCATGCCCGCCCAGACCTGCCCCCCTTGCACCCCAGCCGCACCTCCCCCCCTGCCAGCACCCAGGAGGCAGGCATGCTGCGCGTGCGCTCCCGAGACAACCTGGCCCGCCTGGGGGACATGGCTGCACTAGAGGGCCACCCGCGCTCCACCAACTCGTCTCCCCGCCACGACGATCAGGCTGCTGCGGCCTTTGCCGCGGCGGGGCATGGGGATCCCTACACGCCGCACCCGCTGCCGCCACGGCCTCCGTCTGGTGGCCAGCAAGGGCGCCTGGGCCAGCACATGCAGTCGGAATCGGCACTGGACCTGCAGGAGGGGCAGTTTGGAAGTCGCCTCCCACAGCCGCCCTCCATGCCCCAGCTTCATGCGGGGTTGGCAGGGGTCCCTCTGAAACTGAACCTCCATTCAGAGCCAGCCTCCCCAGGGTATGCACATGGCCAGTACAAGAGAGCTGGGGGACTGGGGGAGTTTGGGGAGTCAGCCTCGCCCCATGAGACCCCCCGGTATGGCCGCCGGCACACTGCTGTCGACGGTTCCTCTCCTCCGATGGCGGACTCTCATGTGCAGCACCCCCCTTCCCACGTCGAAGCCTTCCGGCGGCAGCACAGCCAGCACCCACGCTCGCTGCCGGGCTCTCCCAGGCAGATGGAGTTCCGCGAGCCAATAGGGGAGGCTTGGCACCACGATCAGATGATATCCCGCTTCGCACAGCATGGGGCCTCGGATGCCTCCCTGCGTGGGTTTCCGGCGGATCAGGCAGGCGTGGTGGGCAGCCCCGGAGGGCACTTGTATCGTGGGCGTGTAGGGGACGGGAGTGGTCGGTGGGCCGGAGATGCGGGCTTGTGGCGAGCGGAGCAGGCAGCAGACGTGGAGGTGGCGCAGCAGGGGTACTTGGAGATGGACACCCGCGAGCGCCCGTATGAGGCCGCTCATGGTGGCCCCGCAGGCGGCGGGGACCAGAGGGTGCACCGCTGGCTGGACGGGCAGAGCGGGGAGCGGGATGCACACTACGGCGACAGTGGCGGGCGCATGCCCCGGTCCGCCAGCCAGCGCCAGCTGCAAGAAGGGGAGCCCTACTGGCAGGCCAAGACAGAGAGGGAGCTGCGGCAGGACTCGGGGGCGCGGGACGGCCTGCCAGGGCTGGCAGGGTCCTGGGACGAGGGGCGGCGGGATGTCTACCCCGAGGACCACGGGGAGGGGGCTTCCGAGCCATGGCAGGATGGGCGCAGGGTACCCCTCAGCTGGGGCCAGGATGTGGGGAGAGGAGGCATGCCGAGAAGAGGGTCCAACCAAGACCTGCATCGCACCGCAGGTAGGTGTCATGGTGGTTAAGGGGTTTCAAACTTATAAGGACTTGAACCTGGTCAGAGCAGGTTTTGCATCTTCTGGTACAAAGCTTAGAGTACGCGGTCGAGGGTGGAAAGGAATGCTGGTAAGCAATGCAAGTAATCCAAGGGCGGGTCGCCTATTCGGCCGTGGCCTGGATGAACAAACCTGGATGAACAACCACAACATATACGAAGCCCTCTAATGGGTCCTTATGACCAATGTACAAGGTGCCGTCACGCACAGGATCAGAGAAGTTTCTTCTTATGCCTATTTTGCACTTCACATTTGTCCATGTTAGAGAAGGTAAAATTTGGGTTTTGCAGTAATTAAGCAGACTCCTAAACAAATTTTGCGCTTTGCCCTGAATCAAGTGTTCTAACACAGCGTCAGGTACTGGACTTGCAGTAGCTTTTTGCAGGCTCGCACTGGTCGGTCGCGAGCCCCGAGAAGCTGACGGGACATCTGCCAATTGGGATCGTTTTGAGACGAAACGTAGGCCCGAGACAGATTGCATAAATGGGGATCCGCAAAGTCGCCACCTAGCTACCACGTTGACTGTGGTGGCCTGCCCTTTTTTCTGTGCTGCAGGTGACAGCGGCCAGGCGGGGCCGGACGCGCCATTCTTTGTGGAGGAGGGGCGCGAAGCAGCCTCCCTGCTGCAGAGAAGGGGGTCCCGGCGGGAGCTGCTGGGGCCCCTGGCACTGCCCCCTGCTGCTCCCTGGTATGGAGGTGGGCCGGAGGAGCTGCGGGCGAGCCCCCGCGACATGGCCACCACCAAGCCTCCGGATTTCGATTTCCCGCAACAATTGCCTCCAAGAGGGGTGTCTCCGCCCACAGCAATCCCCCTCCCTGCGAGTGGCTTCCAGCCGTCAGAAGCGTACCCTGCGCTAGGGGACACCCCTCCGCCACCGGCCGAACTGCTTCAGCTGAGCGCCGGCTCCAGCTCCCAGAGCCGGCCTCCACCTCATCCCCTTTCCCCGGGGAACAGTGGGGCCCCGCGCCCCTCTGCTTCGCCTGTTAACGCCCCATATTCTGATGGGCCCGCGCCGCTGCCCCTGTCCCTCGCTGCCTTGACCAGGCCTGAGGCCGTTTCCCAGAACGGAGTCGTACAAGAAGCTCCCAGCATCACCAGTGATGTCAACAGCCTCGGGCCGATGGCTGGCCGCGGCGGCAAGCCCGTGTATTTGCCGAGCCCGGGCAAGGCCCCTTCCCCTCCTGTGCTCCTGGAGCTACAGGACCCTAGCCTGCCCCAACTCAACCTCGGACGGCCTCTCGTGGGCGGACCCCTGTTGCCCTCGCCGGATCTAGCCATGGCCCGTCCCAGCCCTGTCAGCATCCTGCAGCAGCCAGAGCCAGTGGTCCCTGTTCCGTCCCTCGTCTTTGACGGTTTCCCCTCGCCTCTGGGGCACCTCTCGGTGGGGCCACCTGTGGCGCCTCTGGAGAGCGTGCTGTCCATGGACCCCCACTACGGGATCCCCCCTTCCCTGGCCCCGCCAGCCTCTGGCCCCCTCCCCAGCATCCCCCCCATCGCAGAAAACAGCCTGGCGGAGCCGGTGCCCCTCTTCCGCGCGTCCCCTCCCCAGAGCCCCACCAGTGGCGTCAGCTCGGGCATCAGTGCGGCCTGGACGGCTGCGCTGGCCGTCAGTGACTCCCCGCACACGAGCACCGGGGAGGCCGCGGACTGGGCTGCTACACGCCTCGCAGAGGACATGGCGGCCGCGGTGCTGCAGAGCCCGCTCAAGGCACCACCGCTGGGCCAGCCAGAAGTAACTGCCGCGCACGGCTCGGCGGTCGTGGGCGCAAGCAAGCAGATGGGGACGGGCGTGGGGGAGAGGCTGCCCGTGTCAATTGCTCCCCTGAGAATCCTAGAGCCGGAGTGGGGCACGCCCCACTCAGGGCTCAAGCTTCTGACGGAGAGTGCGCGCGGGCGGGGCAACTCGTGGGGGCGCACGCAAAGTGGAGCAGTCGCGGGGGCAGACGGCGAGCAGCAGGTGGGTGCAGAGGCAGCGGTGGTGGTGCCCGTCTCCAAAGGGCCGGGCTTCGTGAAGATCCATCCAGAAGAGCAAAAGGTGAGACCCCGTCCGGAACTCAACATTGCTTGACATTGTGTAATCGTCTCAGGATTGTCATGTGAGAGGGACTTTGTTAAGTCGCTTTGCAGCGGAACGTCTACATAGCGGATGGTCCTTGGACATGAAACGTACAAGGCCCGCCTAATTGTTGGACCACGCTTGTTTTGTGCTCATCCGGCTTCTATCTTTTGCAACTCAGTGCACCATGTAACCTTGACACTAAGGCTAAGTCCTCTACAACGTCCTCTGGTCAGACAGTAGTTTGCATTTCTTGGGGGAGGTCTCGTTTTCACGGTGCTCAACTTGTACAGTCGCTGTTGACGTTCCCAGCACGCTTCCCACCAAGCTCTGAATCACGTCGCATCTTTGAGGCCCGCCCTCTTGCCCCTCGGCCCCTTATTCCAGCGCGCCCGACCCTGCTCCTCGCTGCTGCAGGTGCTCTCGCCCTCGTTGCAAGAGCGCGTCATCCAGGAGCAGCGCCTGCCCTCCCGCTCCTCTGCGGACAAGCTGCCGGCCAGCCTGGGCACGCCCTCTCCCGCCCCCTCACTCGCCTCGGAACTGCCAGCAGCCCCTCCAGAGCAGCCCAGCAAGGAGGCCGCCCAGGCAGTGCAGCACGCCGGGGCCCCAGAGCCGCAGAGCCCTGCTGCGGAGGAGGGCGGCCGCGCGGCGGGGGTGTTGCAGCAGGCAGGCGGGGCGGGGTCCCCTGCGGGGGTGTCGCTGCACTCGGAGCAGCTGCGGCTGGTGGACGATCAGATCCGCTTCCAGTCGCAGTCGCAGCTGCTGTCCGAGACCCCCAGCGCCCAGCCCGCGGAGGACGCCGGCGCGGGGGCGGGCCCGTCGGCGGCGCAGGCGGAGAAGGAGGCCAAGTACGCGGGGCTGCAGGAGATCTTCGACGGGGACCTGGAGGAGATCCGCGAGCTGGGCAGCGGCACCTTCGGCACGGTGCACTACGGCAAGTGGCGCGGCACCGACGTTGCCATCAAGCGCCTCAAGGCCAGCGTCTTCAGCGGCGGGGAGGACGAGGACAAGACGGTGAGCACCGCCTTGCCGCACCCTTAGAAGACGCGTCAATCAGATCAGGAGGCACGTGCTCCTCTTCTTTCAGGGTGTGTTGCCGGGTCATCCTACTTAGGTGCTTGTTGGCAGCTGTCTCTCTCAAAGATTCCCCGAGTTTTGATTGACAACCGTCCGTGATCAACACTTGCGGAGGCCAGACTTTGGGGCGTAATAGAAAAGTTTCAGAAGCAAGTAGCTGCCCGTTAGGATCGCTCTGTGCCGCCCCTTCTTTTCTCATACTGAACATCTTTCCCTCGTGTATTTCTAGGATGGGAATATGCATTCTGGTGATATTTCGCTGTCTGGGGATCTGCCGGTAGAGGTGAAACGCAGACAGAATAAAGAGGTGGGTGTCTCCCTCTGCCCCCGTCGCCCGGTCATGCTTGCAGCGGTTGGCTGCACCCTGCGGTGGTCCCCCCCTGCGTCTGCTGAGGCCCGCCCCTCCGGAAGGTCCGTCCGCGCTTGCGATGCCCATGTCGGTCCACGCCAGGTGGGCCCCTCCTTCGTTTTCCCCTCAACGCAGCCGGCGCTGCCTGCTGCCCGCTCACCCGTGCGTGTGCCGGCTGTGGTGCAGATTGCGGACTTCTGGAAGGAGGCGGAGCTGCTGTCGTCGCTGCACCACCCCAACGTGGTCGCCTTCTACGGCGTGGTCAAGGACAAGGGCAAGCCCGTGGCCACCGTCACCGAGTACATGGTCAACGGCTCGCTCAAGCAGGTCCTCCAGAAGAAGGACAGGTGCGCACCCCCACCACCCCCGCCCCCCGGAGCGCGGCTCTCTGCCCTCAGCACGTCCCGGCCGTGACTTGCTGGTTGTGTCCCGGCCTCCGCCCCTTCGCTGCGCCCTAAGCACGAGCTTGTGCGACTTCCTCTGACGCCTGGTGTGGGCGATGCAGGACGATCGACCGCAAGAAGCGCATCCTCATCGCCATGGACGCCTCGTTTGGCATGGAGTACCTGCACACGAAGCACATCGTGCACTTCGACCTCAAGTGCGACAACCTGCTCGTCAACATGCGCGACCCGCAGCGCCCCGTGTGCAAGGTAGGACCTCCCACCTCGCCTTTGCACCCTCCGCTGCACGTGTAATGCAACAAGCAGGCCCGGTTTGAAGTACAGCATTCCCGTTTGGCTTAGGGGCTCCATCTCCAAGGCAAACCCAAGCCCCGCCCGCTTGGTCCCACGCTGACGTGTATCATGCGCTGTGCTTGCAGGTCGGCGATTTGGGCCTGTCCAAGATCAAGAAGAAGACCATGTGTTCGGGGGGTGTTCGGGGGACGCTGCCCTGGATGGCGCCCGAGCTGCTGGACGGCAACAGCCACTTCGTCACCGAGAAGGTCGGCGGCCTTCCGCTTCTGGAGCGCATCAGCGCATGCCACGCGTGCTTGGCCCTGCACCACTCTGTTTCCTTTTGCTTGTTGTCAAGTAGCACAGCGTGAGTGCAGTGGTGAGGAGCAGGGTCTGGTTTGGCTCGCCATGCCTGGCGGGGGCTGACGCGGGTGCGCGGGTGCAGGTGGACGTGTTTTCGTTCGGCATTGTGCTGTGGGAGCTGCTGACGGGCGAGGAGCCGTACCGCGACATGCACCACGGCGCCATCATCGGCGGCATCGTGAACAACACGCTGCGGCCGACCATCCCCGCCTGGTGCGACCCGGCGTGGCGTGCCCTCATGGAGCGCTGCTGGGCGCAGGACCAGAAGGCGCGGCCGTCGTTCAAAGAGATCTCGGACCAGCTGCGCGCCATGTACGCAGCGCTGTCCAAGCCCGGGCGCACGTGACGCCGGGGGGGCCAAGGCCCACACGCTGGGGCGAGGGCCGTGGACGGGAGCGTCACGTTGTCATGTTGTGGGGCTGAGGAGGAGAAGCGAGCGTGGGGAGAGGCAAGGCCGGGGAGCTCGCACCAAGCCGTTTCTAGGAGTCACGAACTTGTTCAGTTGAATTTGAGCATGTACTATAAACGAATGACGTAGAGTATGGTGAAATAGTGGAGTCAACGTGTCGGAGTTCTCGAATTGCAGGACTAGATTTTCCGTGTCAGTCTGTTGAGGGCATATGAGGATATTACGAGCATTGCCAAGCGGAGACCGTACCATAGTTGGCCAATAACGCTTGAACGAGCAGTTAAAGAGGGGATCCACAAGGCCCCTCGAGAGAGATCGTTCGCCACGGCATGACAGCGGCAACGCCAGCCTCGTTGTCTGCCAGGTAAGAGTGCGATTCTTCCCATTCTTGTTAAGAGTTACGTTGATTACACGCTTTTGGTTCATGTCATGGCCGTCGACCATGCAGCCTTGTGTGCTTGTGGAAGTCTGCACGTGTCTGACGAAGGGTATGGACATGAGAAATGCAGGCTGACATTGGCGGAAACTTGTGCTTGTGCAGGTTCTCTTTTTCGTTGCCGCACCATGTCGTCCAGTAGTTGTTGTCAAAGAAGATAGAAGAACATAGTTGCACGCAGCCAGGATAGAAACATAGTAAGAAATTTGCTTCTAGGATCGAGGGAAGTTACGGGAGGCCCTTCGTTGACAAGGAGATTCAAAAGACATTTTACCAATTGTTACGAACGGCTGTCCCTCGGAGTTATGATTAACGTGCACATTTTGAAGGCTCATTTGATGTTGCATGGTCGTACGTTTCAATTTCTATCGGAGACTTTTTATTTGCGAAATGATAGAATTGGCATGTGAATAAGGAAGTTGGTTGCATGTAGCTCCATGTGCTACGCAGGTCCATACGGTTTTACGATTTGAGATGCAATGACAGTCACTCATGGTCGTTCAATATCCATGCACATGGGAGTCAAAGTTGCTGGATGACATGTGCGTTCAGAGTCGAGCTGAGACCCTGCGGTGGGCCAAGCTGCATACAGAGCTGTGCCTAAGTCCATGCGTGAATTAGCACGTGCCGTGCAGTTTAAACTGTGTAGAAAGCTCGTGGTCGCAATGGGAGTCCCGGTGCCGCATGCAAGGATGGATACTGCTGCAATGATGTTCTCTTTAAAACGCCGTGGCCACACATGGGCCACATGTAGGCTTTCATAGATCGATGTTTGAGGTTGAGAATATTATCCCAGCCACCCTACCAAGTCTCCATGTGCTACGTATTAGTCCAAAAGATTATCTGGATAGCTTTGAGCTTTACAATATGAATGGCAGAGCCGGAAGCATCCCACCACTTGCAGTCCACAAGATAGCAAGATCGAACGATTCTATCCGTAAGAACAAGTCAGATACTTGTTCCGTCTTCCATGCTTCTTAAATTAGCTCTCAGATATCGGGCATGGTGATCATATTATGAGAATCATGAATGATTCACTGCATGCCAGAAAGCAGAAATGGACGCTTGGTACACAACCGGGACGCCATCACAACGCTTGAGATGGCGTCCAAATCGATGAAATATCTTCACTAACTACACTGTAGTTAGTTCTGAAGCCTTTCCTACTGCTTTTTGATTAAATTGCAAATCTTACTTCTACTTTGGCTAAGTCCCTAGAAACGTGTTCTGCGACTACAAACAACCTTGATTGGTAAGTCGACAAACCTTGAGAAGGATGGCGCTCAGTCGCAATACATATTGGTACATACGATCAGGATCAAGCAAATGCACGAAACGTTAAAACCAGCCTCTTCCCTAGTCGAATACTAACAAACAAACGCGTTTGTAGGGCAGGCCAGAGGTCGAGGGTATGTCCATACTTGTGACTAATGCTGCAATACGACTTGTTTAGATGTACAGATGATGGAAGGTGACTGTCTATTGTCAAGGTTGTACTTCTGAATTATGTACCCGAATAGATTAGAAGTATAACTTACAAACTGTTCAACAACATGGATGTTGACCAGAGACAGCATGATCGCTGGTGAAACAGTCCTTGCAAGCTTGTGAGCTGGTGCCCTAAGCTAGCTACGCGCTTCAAGATGCTAAGAACATGGTCATGTCTCTCTTGCCGGATTCACCACCACCTTCCACTTCAGGAAGGCTTCACAAGGGTACTAGAAACGACAATTGGTTTCGTTGTAGAAACAAACTGCAACAAGGGATACAACTGTAAACACCAGCAAGCAAATTGCAAAACGAGGTCAAGTTACCACCAGAAGGATGGTGGTGCCGAAACATGTCTAGTGAGGTGCCAAACATGGCAACACTTACACTGGACCCATTGCAGATTGGTACGAGTGTTTTCTAAGATCTCAAACAAGATGCGATTCTCACTTGTAGGGCGATGCTCGCAGCCTGGTACGCCAGGTAGAATCCACCAACAATCAATGAGATCCCAAATGCGGACGACATGGCGACAATCGTGATGAAGCCAATGACTGTCGCCGAGCTAACAAGGACCCCCACATACACTGCTGATAGAGCAGCCTGCATGGACATGCCAGGAAGAGATGAGGCCGGCGCTGCATAGAGGAGCGAACCCCAGGTGGGGCCACAGTGTGGGCGTCAGCAACACGCCCCTGCCAGGCAGCTGCAGCACTTGCAGACATCTGTGAAAAGGCATTGAGGGCACACGCGAGGGTTGCAGTGCCCGCCTGTTGTGGCCTTACCAAGAACATGGCCAGAAAGCTGCACGCCGCCGCGAGGCAGAGGACAAATGCCACCAGCATGGCATTCGCTGTCGCCACAGCAAGAATGGCCCCAAATAGCGTGGCGCCAGCAGCTGCCGCGCCAGCCACGCTCAATACCTGCACAACGGCAGACAGGGCAGAGCTTTATGAGGCTTACCGCACGTCCTATCGGCCAGTGCCTGGTTCCCCAACGGACAAAAAGAGAACGCTCAAAGACTCTAGTGGCAGGGGGGCAGCCAGTAGGCAGCTGACAATGTTATGGCAACGGGAGCCCGGAAGGTGCGATGTAGGAGAGCAGGAGAGGGCTGCGGGCTGGGGCAGCAACATCGATGGAGGGCCCAACAAGGAGGCGGGGGTGGGGCTGCTCACTGTCAGTGCCAGGAGGATCCGGAGCGTGCCGCCCGCTGCCACCCAGTCCCTGCAGTCCCAGACACACTGGGTGACAGCCGCATGCAGTCGTGGCCCATTCCGCTGCAGCTGGAGCCGAAAGCGACGGAGAACCGGAGGGGGCTCATACCCCTGCATTGAGGAGCGGGCAAATGTGGTGCATGACTGGGGCATGAGCAGTGCATCTGGTCAGGTGCTGCCTATCCGCCTTGCAATCCAGATCGCAGCTATCCTGCTCTCAACATTGCACGTCACAATGGCAAATCATGCGCAAACTAACACAAGCCCGCACGCTGGAGCTTTGAAGCGCCATAAACGACACCCTAAAAAAGTTTAGCCCACCACAAAAGAGACGGGAACGAGCAGGCCCACACCACTCCCAAAGGTGGCACCTTTATGCATGCAAGCCCACAGAAACAGCCTCACGCTGCGGCAGCTGTTCCAAAGGCGCCAGACATCCAACGGTGGCAATCGCTTTGGCTGGCCTCGCCCAGCCTTGATTGATTGCCGTCATATGACAGCTAGCTACAGCAACCTGCCTCCCGCCCTGGGTGCTCTACCCCCTCTCCGCTCACCTCCTTGCGGCTCAGCGGCAGCAGCTCTGCCCCCATATCGCGCAGCACTTGCAGGACTGCCTCTTTTCCCCCGGTCTTGCGCCCACTGCTCGCCTCCTGGGCCTTGCCCCCAAGCAGGGCCTCCTCCTTTGCAGGAGCAACGAAGAAACTGGGAGCGTTTGCAGGCGGCGCCATGGGGGCTGCCGGGAGAGGTGCCTGGGAGGCAATGCCGTCTCCTTCGACCATGTTTCAAACCAGGACTAGCTGCCCCGTCCACGAAACCATGCCTGAAGCCACATGCATGCAGCACAGCTTGCTATTCAGATCATACCGGTACTGGACAGTGAACA